GTTGACCAAGTGAACCTGATGAAATAAATATAATCTGTTTGTCATTATTAATTTTAATTTCATGAATTGCTTTTTCAATTGTGTCAACGAATATAAATGGAACAGCATTCGCATTTAAAGCACAAATAAATATATCAAGCTCATTACCATATTGGGAATTTGGATCTAGTACAGTACAGAACATACGTTTGAAACTATGACATTCACCATCTTGACCGATAAATGCATCTAACCAAATAATTCGATGCGTTCTGCTTAATGCCATTTTTTTTTGAAAATACCAATAAATCTACTCTATCGGTAGACAGATGTCTAAATATATATATATATATATGAGGTTTCGTAATAATTCACTCTCTTTACAAGAAAATAAAAGAACACAAAATATACGCAGATAACGAAAAAGCAGGATTTTTCCAAGCAAAATCATGCTCACATGGTTTTTATACTTATTATATAACGGAAAAAATTTAAAAATAAAAAAAGAGAGTAAAAGTGCCTATGTCTATTTTTGTTTAGTTTGTTTTTTCCAACTAATATACTACTGTATCCTATGAATTTATGGCACAAAAAACTTCTTATAGTACTTGAAAAATTTCTCAACATAGAAAGAAAAAGAAAAGATAAATTCACGTGACCTTGAGTAAATAAAAACCAACTTATATTACATTAACAGTCATAAATAAATAAATAAATTGAAAGTTGAAAATATTTTATTCTTTATCGTATATGACAAACAGAAATTAACTGCAGGCAAGATTGAGTGCATGAATCTATATTATATCGTGATCATCGATAGTCAAAGACAAATATCAGTAGTTGTCGTTAGTTGTCGTTTAAACGTTTTCTATGATGTTCGTCACTATTCTTTTGTCATTACAATTTTAGAAGAACATAAGAATGCTGAAATTTCATTGTGACGAATTATTATATTTATTGCAAATTAGTAAATTTTTCAATAAAAAAAATTATTTTACTGGAATGAGTACATAGAGAAAGCAAATTGAATACATAGAATCATTTAATTAACATTATGAATTATTATCTATAAACTAATTCTGTAAAAAATTATCTACTATGAAATAGTATTCAAATTATCAAACTAGCCATTCATAAATAATATATTCGATGAATATTCCAAATTTATGTGAAAGTAAAATGCGACAAGAAATTCAAAAATTATGCATTGACTAACAATACAGTTTTTATAATCGATGAAAATCTATTCACACATTTATTTCATTTTTTGTTTTATCTCGTACCGTTACATGCGCTTTGATTATTATCTCCAATCAGATTTGAAATTACTATACAATAATTATTTTTTTTTATTATTGAACAAGACATTTAAAAAAAATTGTTTGCTGTAATTTTTCCGGTTCAACAAAGAAGAAGAAAAGAAAAAAAAATGGAGATTCGTTTGTTTGGTTGATTTATAAGTTTCTTCATATATTGACTATAGCCAGAGGTAGCCGTGATGCACTTGTGACCTTCCTTCTTCTCTCTTTCTTTATGCTTCTAGTTTTTTTTCGCGTGTATGGGCCTGTGCATTTTGGATGCTTTATCAATAGCTGTTCCATTTTCTCAATAAATCAGTCGATTTAATTAAAAAATTGATCTGATTATCCTGGTTGTATTTCTACAGAGAGATCTGTGTAACAATATATTTTATTTCGTAAGTAAGAAAATTACTTAAAAGTATTTTTTTTTATTCACTTTTTTTTATATGGGTTTTGAAAGGACGAATAGAATCGAGTTAGGGTGTCGGTGAATGTGGGTGGGTGCAGGTAAAAAATGAACTACGCTCACACCCATCCAGGACGGAATGGAACGACTTTTTGGTCGTCCCGCGGAGCTCTGATTTGTACTATATTTTTCAACATATGCGATCGAAAAACTCTTAGAAATAGCGATGATGATGATAGTTGGAAAAAGCCAACAGAGCTATGACTCACTACTATGAGAAAGAAAAAGAAAAACTCATTTTTTTCCTTTCTTCCATGTAAAGCGTTGCTATTGAGAACTCAATTAGTCACTTGTTCGATTCGACTTTTCAAGCAATGTCAGAAGTATCTGATATAATCAATTCAAATAAAATAATATTGTATGCATTTCGTTTTGGAACATCTGATAAACTTGTTCATCTCACTCAACAACAACTTGATCGTATTCCTTACTTGTGTGCTCTTGTGGCACATAAAGATGATTTTTTATTAAATCAAAATGAATATGATGAATATGTACTGCATCATCCAATTGAATATACTTGGTTTATGCCTATTTTTCGTTCAATTACTTCCGAACATCCATACATATTATTTAATGAAGTACCTGAAGATGATAATATATTAAGGGGCAAATTTAAACTAATATCTAAAAATATGGCAATCTATATCTAATTTTAAAATAAATTTATATCTAATATAGGACGAATTTATATCTAATTAAGAAAATAATATATCTAATTTTAAAATTTATTTATATCTAATTTATCAAGTAACACTACCTAACAACACAAAGTTATATCTAATTAATAATTAAAGTAATAAAAAAAAATAAAGATACGATTATCACTTATAACAAAAAAACACAGCAAAAAAAAGAAAACTATTGCACAATTAATGCTTTTTTAGCTTTAGCAACACGGCCTCTTTTTCTTTTTTGTCCCAAAGGAATATTTTTAGCTTCCAATGGGATGCTGCATAATTTGTATCGTGCTGCTAAGCCTACAATGTGTTTACAAATATAATACTTTAAACAAGCTGGACAAGAACATGTACTTTTTGTCCAATTTTCACTTTCGTTTAAAAATTCACATTCCCAAAATGATAATTGTCCATCTTTCATAATATCAAAATCACACCAATTAACGTTTTGTTGATTATATAATAGCTTCTTCATAAATTCTTTATTAAAATCTTCATAATTATCTTGAAATGAAGATGATTCAATAGAATCTGTTTTATCATCATCTGATAATGATTCTGCCATTTTTTTAATGGCATATTTTTTAATATTTTTTAAACTAACTTTTTTCTTATCACTTATCGTCATTCCTAGCTCATATATACTCTTTCAATTAATTGATAAGTACTAATCAATTATAGATTACGTTCAAATTAATTAGATAATTCTATAAATTGATTGATAGTCATTTGTTAAAAGTGATAATATGTTAAATTAAACGACAGAACATTTTTTAATTCAGACACTTAGTTGATTTAAAAGATGTTTAATTAAAAAATTAGATTAAACAATTTTTTTTAAAGTATTCTTTCACCGGAATAGATACTACTGTATTATGTTAGGAAATACTATATATAATTTAGATATAGATTGCTATAATTTAGATATAGATTGCCATATTTTTAGATATTATGTTAAATGCATGCCATATATTAAACACACTTAAACTATTTGATTATCTTTGTATCGATTTATTTCCTCTACCTATGTTAAAAAACACATCTTTAGTTCTATCAAATCGAATTAAAACTGACAATGATGAAAATCGTGTTGTATATAAAATGGCCGATATCTCAGAGGCACGGCAGACGGCTGCAGAGTTCATTATAGCTCTTAGCAAAAATGTATATGATTTGCATGATTTATACACTGTAGATAATATTTTTTCTTTGATCATAATCATTTTCTCCCATCCAACTGTTTTTAATTCGCGATTTCGTTATCATACGCTAACAGTGGTGAAAGAATGTTGCTATTCGTTCTTCTCAATATACCAACGAGGTCTACTACCTTCTACTCAAAAAATTGTTAAACATCGTAAGATTGACTCCTTAATGTATTTATACGATGAGGATAAACCTCTCCCTTACGGTTTTCAAAATACATTCTCTTGGAGAGGCGCTTATGCATCAAAAGAAGAATCCAGTACTAATTGTCTACCGACATGCTCAACAAACTCACTTTCTTCCAATATATATAAAACATTCAGCTCTTATTGGATCATGCCACACCAATATCCAGATTTATCCCAATACAATATCCAATTTTTAGACACGCCTGGTTTATTTGAAATCTGGTATAGTGACTCCCAAGAAAAGTTAGCAATCTGTGAAAAAAAAAAAACCGAAAGAACAATGGAGCACAATCAGCTAGATCAGGTCGTTTCAATAAATTACCTATACGGTTTGAAGTTAACGATTTCAAACGTCGATTTGGTCCAAAATCTCAAAGATATCGATAAAAAAACTATTTCATAATAAACAATTTGTGGGTATGGAGTGTGGGTGTGTAAGTAAATAACAGCTACACCCACACCCACCCCTACATACCTTACTTTTGTACTTATCTAATTGTTTTCTGTTTGTCCGATTATTTATCATGCTACTTAGTGTATTTCATCCATCGATCTAACTATTTACTTAAATATATAATTGATAAACTGTCTAATTTGGAGGCGTCACTTTCGGGATCCTATGAATAGAAATAGAAGTATAACAGTTCGGTAAAAGTTCCAATCTGATGAGCTGTTGAAAAAGATCTCTGATAAGAACGAATTTGATTGAACAGCGCTCTTGAACAAACTGATCGCCTAGCCTTGCAAATGATTTATAATTAGAGCCATCTAAGAGGACTATCCGAAACCTCTTTTTAAGATTATATTCGCAAGAGGATCACTGCAATGCCTGGCTGTTACAATGATAAAGAAAAAAAGAGAAATGAAAGAAGAAAAGAAGAAATGTGCACGTCTTTTATTCTAAACATACTAGTAATAGCATAATGAATCATGAAATTAAGCAATGCTTCAAATCAACAGCCAAATGTTGAATACAGATTCTATAAAACATCTTTTTATGTATCTCTAGTTTTTCAAGACTGAATATGGCAGTTTTTACTTTGATCTGCATCAGGGAACTTAGCGACGTTTATGAATTTTTATTCTCGAAAATAATGAACGATTGGGCTGAAATTTCTGGACAATATTTTCTTTATCTTCCTCTTCGTTGAAAGTATCCTAGATCAATGCAAGATTATGGATTAGGACCAGAATTGTGTGCTTTTGCTCGATATGCGTTCAGAAATTTTGCATCTGTTTTTGCATGAGAAGAGTAATAGAATCTTTGAATATCCTAATGTTCCCAAAATGGCCTCTGATGATGGTAGCGTGAAATCGTGCTCTTACTAAAAATTCCATATAAAATCAAGGGTTCATAATTTTTTCAGTCGGTTTCTGTCAAAAATTATCTGAATTTGGTCCCAATCACATATGTTAAAATGTACGAAATCGAATATATCGATTGTGACTTACGTGAAGTGACTATTAGGTCAATAAGTCATGATTATTCCACACATCTCTATTTTGTTAACGAGGTGTCACCGAAAGCTCAAAACTATAGATCCCCTCACAGACGTGACACAAATGATCGACACCTTAATATTGGTACTCTTTCCTAACGAAAAGTGTCGTACATACTTGGGAGACTGAAATCTACCATAAGATTATTACGTAGCATGACTAAATTTGCGATATCTGTCATCTGCCTTGCTTTCACCTGCACTGACATATTACAGCTAGCAATTTTTATCATCAGCATGCAATAATAAGAGGGTGTGGGTGCGGGTGTTGGTTAAAAGAAGAACTACATCCACATCCACATCATGCGTTATTGTTATTTTTCTTTAACTTATTCTACCTTGGAACATGGAAATTCTTTACATGGTAAAAATAAACAGAAATATAGTGGAAAGCCTTTTTAGAAAAGAAGAGATTCACATTGCAAGAGGTGCACAACGTTATATTTCTACGAGAACGGAACGTCTTATGTTTGTCCCAGTAGTATGGGGCAACGGAAAGACTGTAAAATGATATACGAAGAATTGCGCCGCTGCCGCCGATAAAATGACCGACTAACACCTCTACCCACACCCAAAAATAGAATCGTTAATAGGCTACTGCTTTGTAATAAAGCTGTTTCCTCAATTTCAAAGAAAAAATTCTTTCTAGTGACTTTTGATTAAAGGCAAACGCTATGTAGTCAACACTATGAAGAGAAATATTTCATTAAGAATGTGTTTTTTTTTGAGTGTTTTCAACAAACTCTTGAAATAAAAAAGAATCCGAATAGATTAATACATCGTTTTATTGCAAAACGAATGAAAAAATATATGTTTATCACTTGACATAAGCAATCATTCAACTAATTTCGTTCGTTCTTCGATTTTTCTTTGCTTCTTTCCACCACCGAAAAACAAGTAATGATTGACCAACAATCAAGCCTAAGCCATATGTTAGACCTAAAACTCATCCTATAAATTTTTAATAAAAATGTCTTTATTTGCTTACCTCCATATACTCCTAAAAGAGTTGTTAACATAAATATAGGATTATTCTTATCTGGTAGTGTATAATGACATTCTGAGGTTCTACATGCTTGAAAATAATTTGTATAATTAGTATAATTTTCCCATGTTTCTATGAAGAATCGATTATTTAATTTTCCTAATGAAACATTTCTAAATTTTGATAAACGAAATCCATCATATGGAAAACAACCCATAACAATATCATTAGTTAACTGCTCACTACAGTCATATGATGTTGCACAACTACAGTTTGATGATGGAAAATGTCGTGGAAATGTTTTTATTATATATAATTCATTTTCATCACTAAAACTAAGTTGCCAATTAGTTGTAAAAATATGTAATAATTGATTAACACTAAACGAACGAACTATGAATGAAACTACACGACGATAATAATTTGAAGTTTCACGAATAAATACAGGAATTGATGGTTTTATTTGATTATCAAATGATGAATGAGTTAATGTTTCTACACCAACTAGTTCACGAGTACCAAACATTTGAATAGCATATTCAATGAAACGACGAGATGAACGGCAAAGTGATGCTATTAAACGATAATGATTACTTAAAGCTAATGATATATTCTCATTTTTTTTTAACAAATCAATACGATATGATAAAGAAATATATTCACTAGAACATATTGAATGATAATGAGGTATTAATGTTAAAAATGTTGAATAAGGAACAGCAGCATTTGAACAAGGACATGAAAGACTTGAAATATTTTTCTGATAAAGTTTTTCAACAATGCTCGTTGTTGGATGTGGTATTTTAATAGATCTTGTTTCTTCACTGAATGGACCAGAATAGATAATAACAGCAATAAGACATAGGATAAATAGAAATATATAAATGCGAGTAGCAATAATTTCCTGATGTTGAAACTTTTTCTCAACTGAAGGTGGATCACTCTCAAAAAAATTCAACGATAACAATCTATTAGATATTTTATGACAACAGTTGGATGTTTCTTTTGATGCAGAATTTGCAATATCGACTGTTGTGTCTAGAATAGAGTAAATGTTTATTAAATTCTTTTTTTTACAATACTTAGTAAAATAACTCTTAATCAACATCAATATGAGTATAACATAAAGCTATTGGTTTCTATTTTTTTGAACCGATATTTAGCTTTGAAATTAATAAAATGGCATGTGTAAAAGAAGATTGAGAATTAAGTCCCATTCACATCTTTTAAAACTAATACAAAAACTGTAGATACACTTAATCTGAATATTCAGTTAAACGTGGCGAAGTTTCAATGTTTCGGATGATCGATCAATTCATCACATATAAACAAGGGAATACATTAGTTGAAATTAGGTCAGTGTATTATTTAATTAATCATGTAAATGTATGTTCTACTCTGGAGTTACTAGATGTACATGATAGATAGATTTTAACTTTATTGAAAATATTACAAATCAATTTCATTGTGCATTCTCTAGAAATAAAAAACAGTCCTTCCTCTACAAATATCGAAGCTTGAATTTAATTTAAATTTAGGTCAAAGCATATTAATGTCTGTCAAAAAGATCATCAATAAAGAGTTATCAGATTAATGAAAAATATCTTTTGAAATAGTTAATTAAATAACACACTAAACTAAATCATTCTATTCAATTAATGTATTCTCTCGTTTATAATATGCGACGAATTGTAATAGTGCCCTATTGATCAACTCTAGATAGAAAGTTTTGTCTATGAGAGGCTACCAAGAGATATCAATTTTCGATTATGTTTTTTGTTTTTTAGTTTTGAATAATCAATTTCATTGCTCTATATTTTATTTACATGATATTATCGACTTATTATTTCAACTACGAATATAATAAAATAATAGTAATTATCTTACCGGTTGTGACCTTATTAAGATTATTTTTTTTGATTTCTTTTTTTCGTTTTGACCATTTTCTTAAGAATATCTTAACCAACAATGGTAGAATGATTTCTAAAATAGTACTGAATCCTCCATGAAATCCAAGCATGATAGCAATCATATAAGTGGTATCAAAACGTCTATTTACAGTATAAGTACAGTGTGTAGGTGCACAACGCTCATAATATGCTGTATAATTGCTTGAATACATCCAATCTTCTACAAATAAGTTTGAAAAAATTTCACGTATTGTTGCATTTGGAAGAAAACGACTATTTTCATTTTGAAGTGGTCGTATCTGAGAAGCACGTTTATTTAATGGTGAAACTAATCCAACAATATCAAAATCATATTTATCAAGAAGAATTTGAATACATTTTTTATCGTAAAAGCATTCTAATGTAGATAAAAGAATAGAATCCATTGCATAACATCCAAGAACTAAACCAGGTACAGTTACATTAGGTTCAGAATGATGGGTATCTGTTCGCAAATAAAAGCCAATAGGGCTAGTACATTCCTTTGACAGAGAACATGAACATGAATTTTTATGAAGATTTGATGATTGGAAATGGATTGACCATTTCGATGTTGTATTATCATATATTGAAAACGTTTGAGTATTCATCCACATGTTCTCAATCAATTGATTTGTTCGAATCGATGAACGAATCAATCTTATTAAACTAAAAAGTAAAACGATAGAATTTTGTTCAAATTGTTTCATTCGTGTCTTAGTTTCCATAGTAAACTGTGAACGTGATAATGTATTCATTGTAACAAATCTATTTGATTGAAATATTCTTATTGCATCATTAACTGTTTCACTTGATATTCTGCATAGAATAGATAGCATTTGAAACATCCATTCACCACTAGCTCGAAAGTCAATTAATAGAAGTTCATATGTATCGTTAGGAATTGATCCACGGCCAAAATAAGATAGCCAATCATCTTTAAGATATTCACTTGAACATATTGAATGAAAACGAGGCGAAAGAGATATTATTCGACCATACGACATTGAAAGATTTGAACATGAACAAGTTAATGTTGATGAATACATAGAATAAAGTTCTTCGAATTTTGTAAATGAAGGTCTATCAACACTATAGGTTTTATTACGTTTTAATAAAGATGTATAGATACTAAGAGTAATAAGACCAATAATTGTTAAAAAAATATAAAGACGAGTAGCAATGATACCAATACGTTCATCATCAGGATCATTTTTGTTCTTTAATGGAAATAAATTAAAATTATGAATCGTTCGATGAATATGAATGACTACAGCTAAAAGCAAAAACAAATAATATTTTGCAATTACTTTTTTTTTGTTATTGTAAATTTCCAATTCAATGATCGATTCTTTTTGTTAAAGAATCCGTTCCATTGAAGAGGTCATTTTTTGATAACTGACTATAGTGAATAGTTCAGTTTTGTAATAGTTATTCTATTAAAACATCCAGTTTTCGTTCGCTTCTCCTCATAATACATTTTTTTTACTCGAATCCATGATCTGGAAGGGAATAATCGTAGAGCAAATAGTTAGATTGAAGTCTTATATCTAGTAATATGAGTTCTTTTTATCTAGACTGATTATACAACAGATAATATTTTCTTGCGAAAGAACTGTTGTCGTTATTCTAAAGATCAAAACTGACATGCAAGTAAATATCAGCAAGATGTATTATGTTTTTCTTCAAAATCTATGAACTTTAACAAAATTTTCTAAGTGGTATAACTAGTCTCAGCATTCCAGCAAAAATCTTAAATGAGATGAAGAGACTGATTTCGTATATCCTTAGATTGAATATATGCATAATAAGAACCGCTGTCACTATTACTGAGCTGAAATATTTCACATAGATATTATATAAATATGCAAAGAGTAGCACATTTCAAAACAATGGTCGGGCATATGAAATGAAGACTAAAGTTAATACGAACTCTTAATCTAAGATCGAGACCGCAACTAAAATTTAGTTGTTTTGCAGATTCCTACATGCAAGCATCTCCAACTGATCAGAACCCATAAAATAGGTCAGAACGAATCAGAAATAGCTTCCTGAACACTAACTATATAAAAATACATACAGATACCTGTAATTAGTTTTCTATTTGTTAGTGTACACGAAGGATCGAACCTAATGCGTGAAACAACTGTCAGTTAGGATAAAGTTCAACATCAAACTACAACTAATAAAAGTTTAAGAGAAAATATTAATCTAACAGAAACCCCACTATGCAGATCACTGAATTGTGAAGCTACCAAATAGTCAAGTCTTCTTATTTTGTTCTTCTCTTTGATGATTGATTCTTATGATAAATACTAATTAATGTTTTAATCATATTCTAATAAAGAAAATAGTATTAAATGTGTGTAAAAATTTAATAAATTGTTATGTATCATTTACCTTGTTTTCTTTGTTTTAGTAATTTATTTGTAATTTCTATTTGTACATGTCTTGGTTCTACAGTTGTAGTTTGTTCAGTTCTTTGTTTTTTCCATTTTATTAATTTGAAAATTTTTACTAAAGCTGGTGTAATTAATTGCAATGCAATAACAAGACCACCAAAAGCATTAAGACTCATAGTAATAATTGTACCAAGATAAAATCGACTTTCAAAACTGTAAGAAAGATATCGAGGTGCACAAGCAGCAAAATAATTTTCGAAACTTGATCTATTTTCCCAAGATTCAATAAATAAATAATTATCGAATAATGAACCTGTTGTTAAATTCAATGGAAATCGCGTTAAAGATACATTTAAAGCTCTTGGTCGAGAAACTTTTGGTTGAAGTGATATTACATCAATGCATGATTGATTATACAGACATTCAAGAGTTGATTGACGTATGGCTTCAAGAGGTAGACATCCAGCCATTAGTCCAGGAATCTAAACTTATATTATATCTCTTCAAAAAATTATATTTTTTATTTAATTTTAATGTTTCATCAATTGTATACTTCAACGATAACTGATTTATATATAAGTGAATTATAACTTATGCTCTATGGCTGCAGTACACAGCAGAATTTTCATAATTCTTTATTGAGTTTTAAGCAATATGCACGATATACAGTTAAGTTCTTGTTAAATTCAGTAATGATATGTCCTGCGCACAGAGAAGAATACTTGAATCATGTCATCACTATTACGAAGAGAATTAGTAGTCAAAAATATCTCATAACATATAGATTTACTTGTTGCACTCTGTCGAGTTTAATTCTACTCGAACAAAATATTTACATGGAAATCATCATTCTACATTTTTCAGTATATTTTAAATTTCTTTTGAATGGCACATTACTAAGAACTGCATAATTTTCAGATCGTCACTCCATAAAATGAATAGAATGACATTGGTTTTCAAAAAGTTCCGCTATTTTTTAATCGGAAATAAAGTTGATAAGTAAAAATTTTTTTTCATCAATTTATACGATAAAGAGCTCTCTTTCTTTTTATATAGTCCAAAGACTATTAGATCTGTTTAATAAGTCCATTGTGAACACTTTCAAATACTATTTAGGTTTCAATAAAAAGAGAATATTAGACAGTAACCAACTATGTTTCAGAGCTATTTCTTCTGCATCCATTCAAAAGCAGTGTATGTCTCTCTTAATATGGGTATGGCTATAGACATATTCATACATCGTTCAGTACTTACATTCACATCTTCTCTACTATGATAATATTTGTTTTTATGCTTTTCTACTAGACATGAGATTAGAAATTTCCATAAAGTTAAATCTTTCTGACCATATATTAGTTTTAGTAATAAGACATGTTCTTACCTGAAATTGCGGAGATGGATCATCTTCAACTTCTTTTTCTAAATTTGGTAAAGTCACATTATAAAAAGCACCAGCTGGATGTACACACTGATTGTCTCTTAGTGTACATTCACAAAAGTTTTCTTCCGTTCCATTTAGTTCTTTATAAATTCTATCATAAGAAATAAACATTTTTGAACCGGGTTTGGATACCATATAATTATTTGTACGTAAAGCTGAGATCAATTGATTTTTTGAAGTAAACATTGACAGAATTGATAGAATTCGTTTTTCATTAGTTAATAAATTTCGATAAAAATTAACAGTAACAACAGAACTTACTTCATTAAATTGAACTCGTGAAAAACTATAGCGATTAATTAAACGATTAGAATAGAACATATCGTAAGCATCATTAACAGCTTGACGAGCTAATTGACAAAGTAAACCAAGAGAACGATAATGAGAAAAGGCAAATGTACGAAAATCTAAAATATTATGAGATGTTGCATTGTAAAGAAATAAAGAAGATATCCATTTTTTTCGAATAAATGGACTTGAACATATTTGATGAAATTTTGCAGATACATGTAGAAATTTATCATAACGTACTGCTACTTCAGTACATGGAGCTTTAATTGTATTTGGATAAAGTGTTTCAAATTGTTCAAAATCCGATATAGAAAATTTTTTAAGAGTTATCGTACGTGTTCGAATACTTAAACTAGCGTAACTAATAACAATTAACAAACATATTGATATTAAAATAATAAAAATTCGAGTACTAAGTATTTGTTCATTCACAGTTAATGATGGTGACCATAATGGATTAGAAGAAAATAAATTAAATTTTCGAATAGTATGAATTAAATGTGAACGAGCAGTTGATACGATAGTTTTAGTAGATGAAGATATTTTTACTTCATTTGATAGATTATTTGTTGTTTTCATTTTTTATGTGAAGATTGATTGTTTTATTATATAATACCTAAGATTGAAAAAACATCGAATTATCTAAATAATTTATTTATAAATTTAACGAATAGATAAACATCATATCAAGTCAAATAATTCTAGTTTATTGAAAATAGTGTGAAGAACTCGATTAGTCCATGTGTGACGGATTAAGATTTTTTGTGTACTATCTCTTAAATATCTCATCATAGATATCTCTAGTAAAGGTACTAATCCGAAAATATATTTAAGCCTGGAAAAAATTAGCTTTAGTGTCTATATTTGACTCATATTATCAATAGAAAACAATATTTTCTTTAAAGTAATTACATATTCTGAAAGTACGTTAAGTTCTCTATATTCTGTACATTCACATTCTAACTTGTAACCTATTCTTTAAAAAATACATCGAATACAATGAAGGCATACTCATCATCAAATTCCTACAGATTTTTTTCCCACCATTTTCTCTCTCTTACGTTCTTCTCTAGATGAACAACTGTGCAATGTTTCTAGTTACACTAGTTCAATGAAAGAAAAAGAAATATTTTCACACTGACGAATACACATTTCTTTGAACAGACATATGACATATATTATATAGGAAGACAATAGAATGTAGTATTTCTATATTACAATATTCATGTCATCTACGAGATGACACGCAGTATTGAAAGGATTAATTGAAAAAATAATGAAAAAAAGAATCTGTAGGAATTTGACAATGAGTGTGCCTTCATGATATTCAATCTATTTTGCAAGTTGGAATGTAAATATACGGGGTGATAGAGAACTCAACGCGCTTTCAGAATATATAATTGTTTTATACTAACAATATGAGTCAAGTATGGACTAAAGCTATTTTTTCCAGGTATATATATGTTATGTTTGAGTACTCTATAAATTGGCAAATTTTCATTATAATCAAAAACGGACGGCTGGCTGGAAGTTTGTGCTGAAGAATTAAAAAATTTAGCTCTGATACAAATACGATTAAAAAAAGTCTCTATAGACAAGTTATAGATTAGATGACGACCTACATTGTAGAAAAAAAAGCAATTCAAAATATATGACAGTTTCAACTCACAGGAAAATATATTGTCATGACGAAATAACACCTTTTTTTTTAATGAGAGTATTTTCATCAACGTTCATTTCTTCAATAAATTAACTATAGTCTTCTCATAATCAACAGATCAGTAACATTTCACATCATTCTTCTGGCACTGCAAAAATTATATAATGAAAACGTTAGTTTCGCATTTTTTCTGAATTTACCAAAATAGATGGACAGTTATGTGGACAGGTCGATCTATTAAGATAAAAGTTTTATAATTCTAATTGGATCTAGTTTTTATTTTATCATTCATTGTTCACGTATTTATCATAGTCAGTACATGTGAAATGAAACTATAATTAATTTATTAAATACTATTCGTGTCTAAGTAGACAAAAGTCTCTGAAAAAATATATCACAATACTTCATCTATCATTTCTATCAATATAAATTTCGTAGTGAAATTATACTTTCCTCAATTTTGAAGATGAATTAATTTACCTATGTTTGAATAAAAATTCTTATTTAAATCTGATATTTCATAATTCATCTCTATAGAATTACTTGTATACCATTATGACATGCTTTTTTGACAAAAATCAACGTTTATTTGATGATTATTTTCTAGAAAAAAAAATTTCGATAAATTAGATTCAAATCGACTATTTCAATCGATTTTTCTTTGAAATTGAGACTCAATTCATAATATAAACTGTAATAAATCAGCTACATTCTAGATATAATGCGATAAGAAAAATAATTGATTAATACGACTATTAAAGAATCCAATGTATAATACTCACAAATCCTGCTTATTATCAATTTAAAACATATTGTAGAAGATTCTAAATTAATTTATTTACAAAAAAAAAAATCCATTCATATAAACTGAACTTATAAAAGTTATTTTTTTACAACTGTCGGATACTGAAAATTTTTTCATTTGAAAAATATTTGCATTTACATTTATTTTTTCCATTAACTTAGTTTGATTTAATTCATTAAACATCAATCTTATGCTGTAAAAAACTTGTTCTATTGTTCTAATGGTAATATACTCATAAAAAATAGTTTTGTCCGTTAGTAAAATATCGTACATATCATCTTGTCTCTCAACGAAATTCAACACATAATATTTATTTTGTTCTCAAATTAGAATTAAATCTACTACTAAATCAAAAATACTAGCACTTTATCTATTAGACATCTACCATAATGTTCATTGTCTGCTTGAAAAAGTAAATCCACAGGGATTCGGAAAGATTCATACTTACAAATTTGCACACGGATACCTTGAATACGAAATATCAGACGCTTGGTTATATATAGAAAATGATTAGAAAGATCGCAATATACTAATTATTGTGATAAAACAAACATTAAAAAAAATGGTCTAATTCAAAAATTTTAAAAGTATAATTAATAAACATTCAGATCCTTTAGTAATTTAATCAAATAATGCTAAACTCATTTTTGAAAATTTTTTAATTTATACATTACACATCGCCAAACTGACGAAAAAACTTACTAGTATTGTAAAACTCACAAAAAATTTAGTTGTCATTTTCGAACATATAAATATAATTTTACAACTAATATAACCTAATGCGAACATTTTAAAATGCAACTATATTCATACAACAAATTCTCATCGAGACACTATGATAATATTACTTCAAGAATTCCATGAAAGTCTTGCTAACCATGCAAAAAAAAATATATCACTCACATCATCTATGGAACTATTTTAAAGAATTTTTTCTACGATAAAGTGTCCGTGATAGAATCTAGTTTTGTTGTAAAACTTAAAGATAATCTTGAACAAGTGTTAAATAGATTATTTAAAAAATGTTCATAATTCAAGGAAAAGATAATAATGTATAATTGGATAAAATTACTTTGAAACTAATGATTTTCAAGTGTCTTACACAAGAAAAGAAAAAGGAAATACGGCTTTTCACTATAAATTGTTAACACACCAAAACCATATTGAATATATTTGTTAAGATATATTTATGAAGATTGGTTTCAATGGATTTTTCAAAGATTCAGTCGCTTGTAGTACATTTGTGATCTTAAATTAAGAAGATATTTCAATAATACTCGTTTCTTTTTCTAAATTTTGCACCAATCAGTTTGCGCTCTGACGAAAAAAAAGTATTTTTATGATTAATTCAGAAATAGAAACACTTCTTTTATCTTATTTTGGTGGCATTGACAATAGAAATTATTATTTATACAGTTATATTCTTATCTAGTGTACGTTTGTCAATCAACAAATGTTTTTCTCTTTCTTTAACAATTTCCATATAAATAAAATTTTATCTGTTTTTTCAAAACAATCAAGAAATATTTCACTGTTTTCTCTAGCAAATAAAGATCTCAAACAGACCGAGGAAAATAAAATAAATGAAACAACACGGTTGATTCATTCTAGAGACGATTTATTAATTCATTTGTTTTTATTAGATTGTTTGGAGTCAAAAGTTTTTTTTATCATGACCATCAATTCGATATATTATATTTTTTTTCATAAAACTAAACTGATAGATAGAAAACTTACTCTTCTACGCATTTTACTTTCGTTTATGAAATTGTAACTATTTGTGAACTACTCGATGAAAATTAAACGTTAGTTGTTATACAGAAAAGAAAAACCTTCATTTTTTTATTTATTCTTTGTTTTATTAATATGAAGAGTGTGTTTTTTAGTTATTTTTATAAACTAAGACTCCTACTTCAAAAAAATATTTTAGAATTTATTTTGTTACGTCTTAACAGTGAACAAATAAAATTATCTATTTATTTGATAACATGAACTATATAATTTTGTTAATTTTGAATGATTGATTTACATATTTCATGAAAATTCTAAATTTTAATGTAATGTTATTCAATCTATTTATCAGGAAGGTTTTTGAAAATGAAAAAAAAAATGTTTAAAAAAGTCTCGAAATAGACACGACTAAAGTACTAGTCTGTCATTCATCAAAATACATTTATTTCATTTGTTTGATCAAGTATTTCAGTAAAAAGTTATTTTTCAGCCACTTTTTTGTTAGTTTATTATTACTCACTTCATCCAAAAATTGACGTTTCTAATGTACATAACAATAAAGAATTTTATCTTTCATCATTTATTTGGGTTCTTAATTTGTTTTTTTTTTGAAAATCTTCATTTTGCTGAACAACCTCTCAATGCAGGCATAATTAAAAGTTCTTCATATACTTGACATAATAAATATATATACATAATTGAACTTCATTGTAAAATAAATTAGCATCATGAATTTATAATATATCATAGATATTCTCGGTATCCTTTTCAGTGAAGTTGGTGATATACTTGGACGATGTTTTTGTTAATAATTGAACATTTAAATCAATTGATCGAAGACTTGTTGCAAAAACTATTCGATAATATTCAAGACTAAGTGAATAAATACGAGATAATAGTAGTGTTCTTAAGAAAAAAAACATGTTAGTTAAGATAGAGAATATTTGTATAACTCTGTTTACATATCTTGTAAATTAATATGTTGTCTGTGGATTATCATGAAATCTCTTTGAAGGTTTTCTTTTTCAGTGTTTACGACTAAATCAATGGCATATTATATTAAGATTAAGTTGTTCAAGTTAATTTTATTAGAACGTTCAGTTTTCGAAAGTTTTATTGTTTGAGCTAATAATTTACCAGCTGTAATCAAATCTAATTTTTCCTACAAATTAGCTAATTTATTTGTTACCAGTTTGTAGGAAACGAAAGAGAACGTTAACCTGTTGAGGGCGAAGGCCGTATATATACGGCCTCAAAATTTGAATGGGTTAGTAGAGGAATTACTCACTAGTTCCATCTATCGTATATAGCGATAAGTTGACGAAGCTCACTAGTGATATTTTGTAAACGTTAGGGATATCTTTTCTAATGCACCATCCATGA